TTAGCCGGGATTTCGAGCGCCTCGAACACATAACCAATGCCCACACTCCTTCAGAGAGAAGCCCCAGAGGGGGTCACCGTTGAGACGGCGAAGACCCATTTCGAGATTGAAATAGATTTCTGACGCTCAGATCGTTTATCTTCTCGGGATGCGATTTCAATCAGAGGGGCAAAATGATGAATCGTTCGACAAGACTTTCTGCTTTTCGTTCCCCTGCCTTCCCACTTGCAGAGGGCTAAAATGTAATACACTTCACACACACACACACACCAGTCCTTTGTGGCTATTATGGGCTTTCACATGCAGTGTGACCTTGGCCAGCCAAAGTGTGTTCGGTTAGCACAAAATCTTAATCATGAGAAGTCGTAAGTAGAAGTAGAAGCCTTCGTCTTTACTGCCCCCTTCCCACTCACCCCTTGGAAATTTATGGTTGGGGGGGACAGGTAGGATATGAGCAGTAGGCCAAATGGAGTACAGGGTTATCTCATCTCTGTGAAAACGGCTCTCGGAAATCGATGTGACCTCTGCTAGGCTGTCACCGTATCCCCACCCTTGGCGTCCTATTTGTCTTTGTTCGGGAGCTGAGATCAGGAGGCTGTCTCCCTGGCTCTCTCTTGGGCCAGATTATCAAAATGAATCATGGCTGTTATATTTCTATTTATTTTCCTGTTGTTGACTGGCCTGGGTGAAATATGACTTCTGTTTGCATTTGATCCTCACTGCAGCCAGTGGCACCTAATTTAGCCGTGTCTATCTCTTTAAAGAAGACTAATGCTACTTTGGAACTTCAATCTGCCCTGCCTTCTTCGCATTACGGCACGTTTGACTCTCTGCGCCTGCCGCCAGCTGATATGAATTTTTGTACGGTACATTTTCACGGCGTTGTTTTCTCCCTGCTCAGCATTGCTAGGTTGCTTTAAGACAGCATGCTGCTCCAAATCCATTTCTTACAACTTCCTTTTCTCTCTCTCTCTCTCTCTCTCTCTCTCTCTCTCTCTCTCTCTCTCTCTCTCTCTCTCTCTCTCTCTCTCTCTCTCTCTCTCTCTCCCCTTTCTCTCTTTTCTTCAATTTACCTTATTTTGCTGTTTTAGGGCAAAGCAGTTAAGACAATATCTGGGTTTTTAAAAAAATTATTTGCATGAAATATCTAAGTAAACACACACACACACACACACACAATTGTAGCCTAATAAGGGAAGACTCTGTGTTAAGATTGATTTTCAAAAAGATGTGAAGGAAGATTGATTTTTTTTTTTTAAAAAAAAGATAATAATTGGGAGGTCAGGCAAAACACAAATGGTTAAACCTTTATCTGAAATATTAACTGTAGTGATATTACAAGAAGCGGAGTTTTAGCAATCCAAAATAATCTACTGTAACGTAGGCTGCATATCCTAAACCAGAGGTCCCCAAACTTGGCAACTTTAAAAGTTGTGGACTTAAACTCCCAGAATTCTCCAGTCAACTATGAAGTCTTGCAAGTCTCTGTTCCCCCAAGTGGTGAGCAATTCCAAGGATTAAACCAGGAGTCCCCAAACTTGGCAACTTTAAGACTTGTGGACTCCAACTCCCAGAATTGGCCAGCCAGCATGACTAGCTGAGGAATTCTGTGAGTTGAAGTCCACAAGTCTTAAAGTTGCCAAGTTTGGGGACTTCTGTCCTAAACCTTGTCAAATTCAAGACCCTCAGGCTGGATCCAGCCCGCAGGGTGCTAAGATCTGGCCCATGGGCCCACCCTGGAAACAGCGACAGACTGGCCAGCAATGCCTCTGCCAGCGAAAATGGAGCTCACACAGCTCCCCCCAAGCTCTGTTTTCGCTGGCAGAGGGTTGCAGGAGGCCATCGCAGTCTATAATTGAGCTCGGGAGCCCATTTTCACTGGCAGAGAATTCAGGCCGCCACAGGTGCTCCCCGACACGAGTGACGTTGAGCTGGCCATGCCCCCCCCGGCCCCCCAAAGGTCAAACACAACCCTGATGCATCCCTCAATGAAATTGAGTTTGACACCCCTGTGCTAAAAACAGTGATGCTCAGAACATGGACTAGCTTATATCCTTAATAAATCTTAATAAGAATAATATGGATCTACAAGTCCCAGCAACCCCTGCTAGCATGGCCAGGAACGAGGAATGATGAGAACTGAATCCAACCACATCTGGGGAGCTGTGGGTTCTCCATCTCTTATCTGCAATGTGACTACAAATCCATGGAGGAATGTCTTTCGAGCTTTGACGTTCACACAAGAAGTATTATCACTTGCTCAATGTATATTTTATAGCCTAGTCCCATGATGGGGAACCTATGGCATGCCCGCCACATGTGCCGGCATGCGAGCCTCAGACAAACTTACCTCACTGCATATGCATGCTCCTCACAGCTGATTTTTTGGCTCGTTTGAGGCCTTTTTCGGCCTCCCAGAGGCTTGGAAAAAGCCTCCGCAAGGCTTTTCAGGATGAATAGTCCCATTTTGTCACTTCCTGTAATACCGGAAGTGACAAAACAGGTATATTATTCA